ATTTTTTATATCGATATATCGCCCAGCCCTATCCACTACCCTGCCTGACTCTGAACGTAACACACAGCACAAACATGAACATGTTTAGTAGAGGTAGACTCTTTAGGCTCTAGCTCAAGTGTTAAGTGTTGACTCACCTCCATTATAAATAACTACAGGAAACCATGTAAGTGGTTACACCAAGTGTTGTTTTAAGACAAGCCTGTAGCTCACCCTTAAGCCTGGGTCATCATCAGGAGTCCTTTTTTTAATCAGTAGTTTATACACACACACAAAGGGCAACCGTTTACGGCTAATTAGTTTAATCAGCCAAAGTCAGTAATTAGCACACACATTATTAAACCATTAATCAAACTATAACTAATAACTAACAGCAGTTAATGTTGTATCATACTTAAAATGTTGTTTAATGTTTCTGTAGTGGTAACAAAATGTTACAAATTATACATTTAAACCATTTGAATCAAACTAAAAGCTCCTTGCGCCAAATTCCCTTTAAGAAATATCACATATTAAATTCTTAACGTGTCCGTAAAAACACGTATCTCTAGACACACAAGCTAAGGGACGTTCAACAGCGGGTTGTTGACGGTCTTCTGGTCAGTTCGGCATTAATATAATCCATAAAGATGAACTGTGTTCCGTACAAACTTTAGATTTAGTCGCCTCCGCCTCCATTGTAGCTGTGCTCTTTAAGCAGGGAACAGTGTGGGAAAGAGAGGCAGACCCTTTCAAAAGGATTCCTCACTAAAATACATGCTGTTTGGTGGATCAGATACAGGCAGAATTGTACACTGTTAATTCACCATCCATTATGTGTGTGTGGGTATTAATCAGAATGTGACAGCAGGTTTGATGGCACAATGACCTGTGTGCAGTTGCTGTTTTAGAAACGGTTTCCTCTCTCTCTCCATTCTCTGGTGCAGTGGTTCAGCTGGATACTGCTTTGTGGAGCTGGCAGATGAAGCAAGTGTTGACCGCTGCGTCCAAAGACTCAACGGAAAACTGGTTCCTGGATCAAACCCGGTCAGTCCTATGGTGTAATTGCAAAATACTTACTCACATATCTTTGATGCAATCCTTACTGTAATATATCATTGTTTCTCCATGAATATAAATAAATATACTATTGACAATTTAATACTGCCTTCCTTTTTTTCCAGTATTAGTTACGTTATCAAGCAGTATTTAATTGTTGATTTGACTGTGGATAGTGGAGCTCAACTAGTCTTGGTCCTCTTTTGTTACAACAGTAACTCAATAGTATTTAATGTTTATAAATCAATATACAGCTGTACAGCGTTTTTCTCTGTAAACACCAGATTCTTGTTAATACATTTGTTAAATGTGCCAAATTAGTTTGATTTGCTTTTTGTTGTCTGTAGTGACAAAGTCTATTTAAGGGTCTGGTGAAACATATAATGCCAGCTTGAAACTTAAGTCTCAGTGTTGTGTAAAGTTGTGAGCTTTAGCTGCTTGCTGCTGGCCTTGTGAGTTGGCCAAGCTACTGGGCTCCCCTGTCCACCGGCCTGTATCTGCTGCTGAAGGTGGCTGAGAGGCTGCTTGTACATGAATGTACTTTGTTTGAAGCTGGTGAATAGAGTCTCTGGTAGGAACTAACTGAGGAATGGGCTAAAGGCTGGTCTGGGTGGTGGAGGTATGTAAACCCAAATAACAACAACTATAATAACTCCACTCTTTATTTCCAGCAATATCAGTGCTATACTACACGTCTTTGGTGTTTGAGGTTGGCTTAGTGTGTGTTTTCTCTCTTCCCCTGTGCAGCCCCGGAAGTTTAAGCTAAACTATGCCACCTATGGGAAACGGCCAGAGGCAGGGTAAGATATGATTCACATTTAACTTTGGCTTGTTCTTTATTTAAATACCCCCTCCAGACATCTATTCAGACAGTCTGCTGGGAACAATAATGTGTCTATAATTCAAATCACTTTTAAGTCCATTCTCAGTGGATGTGCACTGGTGGATCACACTGTACAAGTTGCATAGTGGACCAGGACCGACTTCCTAACTATTTGTGATATCACAAATGTAGTAATGGTAATACAGTAAGAACATTTGACCAAAGCTTTTACTTCTTTTAGGCCGGAGTTCTCAGTGTTTGTGGGAGACTTGGCCTCTGAGGTGGACGACTTCCAACTGCATCAAGTTTTCAAGAAGTATCTTTCCTGCAAGGGAGCCAAAGTGGTTACTGACCAATACGGATACTCCAGGTACGTCAGCTCTTAGAGGTGGACCTGACCGTGACGTGGCTTCAGAAATGTTACAAGTATTCAGTTTGACATCAGATGAACTACATATTTAATTTCCTTGGTGTGTTATGTGTAATATTCTGCTTTGAATATTATTGTAAGAAATATACAATAATATAAAATGTGTCCTGCTTTCTGTGTTGTTATGATTATTTAGATAGCAGTGCTATGGACGTTGAACACCAGTGCATCGTCATCTATTTTCGAAAAAGGCTGAAGAAATGTTTCTTACCGTCTTATGCTAAAACTATTGTTTTCCCCATATAGGCTAAGCAAGAGCAACTCACAATTCAAGTGATGCTACCTCATGTTAAAAAGTAAAACAACAAGTTTCAGTTCTACCATAATAATACCCATTATATTCTGTTTCTCATTATAAGTGGCTATTAAATGCCAAGTATGGAGTGTGTGGTGGTGTGGAGGGGGGGTGTAACTACTGTTTGACTTGCAGAGGTTACGGCTTCGTCAAGTTTGGGGAGGAGAACGAGCAGAAGAAGGCGATCGAGGAGTGCCAGGGCACGATGCTGGGGGGAAAGCCGCTCAGGCTCAGTATCGCTGTGGCAAAGAGGTAAGACGCTGAAGAGGAAACATGATGGAACGTGGCAAAATATCCACACTGTACATCTTCTCCCACAATTTAATGACCCTCAGAGTAAAATGATGTAGTCGAAGTTACGAAGTTATGAGAGACAGACTAAAGGATGGTTGCACCAGTGACTCGATTGATCAATGGAATAAATCTGTAGAATACTCGATTACTTAATGAATCTTTTCATGGGATTTGTCGACGGTAATAAAAGTAAAACGTATTGTCAGCTTTATCCTTTTAAACAGTACTTAATCTGCACAATACGAGAACAACACAATATTGCCCTCTGAAATCTGGATGACACTGTAGAGGTACATACGTCTGCCCAGCCTACGTTTCCTTTTCATTTGAACTTGAATCCAATAACTGCGCTGCATTATAAGTGTTCTTCTCTAAATTCCAAAAACTGTTAATGAAACGTTGTTGTCTTCGTTGTGTTGCAGCCAGAAGATGAGCAACTACCATGGGGGCCAGGGCCAGAATTACCATAGCAACTACAACCAGTCCCCGTCCAGTTACTACGGCAGCAATAGCAGCGGGGGCCAGGGGGGTTACTACTCTCAGTGGGGTGGCTACGACCAGTACAGCGGCTACAACAACACTGGCTATAACAGCGGCTATGCCAGCGGCTACAACAGTGGCTACAACTACAACTACGGGCCCTATGGATACCCCCCACCAGGCCACGTGATGCCACCCCCTCCCATGGGGGTGCCACCCATGTCCACTGACATGTCAGGAGCCATAGAGGTGAGGGAGATACTTTGACACCCATGCTTAAAGGAATACCGGAGTTCCTGCAGGGCTTTTCATTCATGTGACACACGTATACTTTCAGTGTCTCCGAAATAATGTTTGTGTTTCCCCAGCAGGGCCATGAGGAGACGGGGGGCATGGAGGAGGAAAATGTAGAAGGTAAGGCCCTTTAGGAGCGGTAGCAGATAAAGACTTCCACACAACCCTGTTGGAAGGGAGCAAGACTTTATCCTGCCACGTGTGTGTGTGTCGCTCAGACACACCAACCTGCAGCTCTTTATTGACGCAGTCCCCACATGTGCAGTATTTCAATGTTGATTTTAGAATTTGAATGCCAGTGCTATGAACGAAGCTTGGAACTATTGGGTACAGCCCTAATTTGCACGGTCATTCGTTTCATCGTTTCATCTTTTCATCTTTTGATTGCATGCACACATATATAACTCACACTGTGGATGCGTACAAATCATTACTTGTTGGTATTTTCCAGAGCCCATCCCTGAATGTGACGTGGAGCAGTGGAACAAAGATTTTATGCAGCGCAGTGAGGAGCTCTACGACGCCATGATGACCTGTCACTGGGAACCCATGGACTCAGTTGACTCCCCCATCCCATCTTTCTCTTGATAATTCTTACTGTTCCTACCCCCCAAACCTTAAATATTTCATTTTTTTATGATTTTGTACTTCCCTTAAATCTGCCATGGTCTGATACCACATTGACCCCGACACAGGGACAGCTTCGGCCCACTGTTTGTACTGTAACTGACTGAAGGCTGAGAGTACATCCACATGTACACACAAATATTCACTCGATTTTAATGTTTACCATGTTGGTAATATTCAAAAAGTTGTTTGATAATCAGTGAAGTTGCTACCATGAGCTCCTCAATACAGTGTAGGGATGAAATGTTGAAGCAGCCTTCTCTGCTGTTGAGTGGCACACAGTAGCTGTAGCAAACTGAACGTTGTGTCAGTATTTCAATATTTAATGATGTCACTGAGGAACAAACTCCACTGTCTTACTTTTGTTGATCCATGTTGAAATGGTGACACCAGCAAAAGCTAACTTTGTTCATTGAGTATGTCCCCGGGAGAACAGATTGTCTTCTGAAGACAAAAGTTTAAACTATGCCTTAATTATCATTGGCCATGTACGTCCTCTCAGTCTAGGATGGACTAGAATGACTTTGTATATACAGGATAACAGTCTTGTTCATTTTTAATAAGGAAACTTTCCTCAGTTTTTCTGATAGATTTAATGGACATTATGTGGGTAGAAGTGAACATAAGGAGTTGACCCAACAGTAATCAAATGTAATTTATCACTGTTTTCCAGACAAGAAGCTCTGTGTCTTTCTATATAATAGATGAATGGTACAACCTCCCAATACCTTTTTGAGCGCTGTGAAACTGCATGTATTCATTTTGTGAGGTTGACAGCTGATCTGCTGTATCAGATGTCTAGGCCACATTTATCCTCTGACGTCTGTTTTTGTATATATTTTCTTTCTGCAGGCGATTTATCAATAAAACAATTTTAGGAGGGAAATGCTCCATTGTCTTCACTTTATTCAGGTTGATTTTAGTTTTGTGAAGTCGTGCTTAGGAAGAGCAGTACTTTGAGGCGACTGTACATGATAATCAGGTATTTGTATGCCTAGTTCAGTTTTATTTGGTATATTCTTTTTTTTTAATCCTTTTTCTAATTCTTCCTCCAGTGTTTCCTCAGCACGTATGAAAAGTGCTATACAAATAGAGTCTGATTGGTTGACTATCTGGTATGTTAACCATGCTAACCATTTTATTTAGGATGCTAATTAGCATGCTAACATGCTAATAGAAAACTGAAGTACATCTCAGGCTGATAGGAATTAGATTATAATATTTAATTATGAATCCAGGTATTGGACAAATTGAAAGTTTGACACGCAAAGCTAATGACATTCCCATCATCCTCAGCTGTACTTTGTGTTAACTGCTAACATGTCCTAGCATGCTAAGATGCGAATATATCTGCAGAACATCAGCATGCTAGCATTATAATGGGTGCATGTTAGCAATGCTGATGGTTGCATTTAGCTCAAAGCACTGATATATGAAAGTACAGCCTCACAGAGCTGGTAGCATGGCTGAGCACCGCCGTATGTACTTCTATAATAGTTTATTTTAGTTGTTGGCACATACCCATCAAATCTTTCAGTTTTTCTGCATTGTAAACCAATCTGGAGCTGTGGGTTCAGTAAAGTCTCCCAAACATTTGCAGCCTAATTGGTAACCGCTGGCTCTCCTGTCACCCACTGTGACTCCCTGATACGATGGAACAGAAAACAACAGCATGCATTAGAAAACTGCGTGTTTGATGACACATTTTGAAAGCAGTTTGTCTGTTTCAACAGAATTTACTGAACAGATTTTGTGTTTGTTACTGAATCCTCAGTCATCTTCACACAACCTCCTGCTAATGATCTAAAACATCTGTCTTTGTTAACATCTGTTCTTTCAGTTAATTGCAGTGATCATGGATTAGTTTTGGGTTCTCTGCCTCAGCACTGCTGGTCTTGGTGTTGAGCAGTCCCAGTCCAGGCCTCCCGGGGCAGCACCAGCTGGGTCCCAGGCGGTACCAGCCTTGGTACAGTACCCTCCAGCTCAGACACCCCAGAGCGCCCCCTAACAGCTGTGTGGGGAACTGAGGGAAGTAAGCCAAGAGACAGAGCAGCAGAAAGATCCAGAGCCCAAGCAGGAGAACACAGAACAGGAAGATGATCCTCAGGGGGGCATCTGAGATCCCACCTAAGTTCAGATAAGGTCCAAACACTGCTGTCTCCTCAGCCAAGAGCAGGCAGCACAGGCACAGGAGGAAGACATCTTCTGAAACTTCGTAGCCCCTCCACAGCATCCCAGCTTTGAGGCACACAGACTTACTCTCCCCTTCTCGCAGCACCAACAGAGGCCCGTTGGCGACCTCTGGGTTGGCGGCTAAAGGCTCGTAGCAGCTTCCCGTGGCGTTCTCCAGAAGGTCCAGGAGTTTACAGAAACCGAGCCACAATCCCCCAGCCACCCCGAGCCGAGAGAGGTGACGCATGGAGAGAGAGAGGGAGCGACGGATGGAGAAGGAGAGGAGGAAGACGAAGGAGCCGACAAAGACGCAGGTCCAGCCCCAACCGGAGCGCAAGAACATCCTGGAAGGAGGAGACGTGTAGTGGTTAAACATCATTACATCACATTCATTTATGTTAAGGATTGGTGCTAAACAAATAAAATTGAATTGAATTGAATTAACAGACAAATTAGTGTGATTGTTTAAAAGCCACCATTGAAAAATCCTCTAACGGCTCATTCTCAGCAGCATCACATTTCCTCAGGGTTCTTCTATTTTTTTTTTTTTAAGGTTTTTCCCCCATGAGTTTGGGAGAGAGATGCTTTCACAAACGAGGGTCCCAGGATAAAGGTTGTAAAAGCTAAATGATCTATTGTATGATATTTAGCACAGTGGTTCCCAACCTGGGGGTCGGGACTCCTACTAGGGTTCGCCAAAGCGTCATGGGGGGTCACAACACCTTCTTCATTTTAGGGGTTGTAAGAAAAATTCTGTATTTTATTTATTTCTGTGAAGAAAGCTAGATGAAATGGTTATTTTTGAACTTTACATTATTTTTAGGATTCTTTTCTGGCATAGGTTACTAACTGCCAGAACAGTGCAGATTAGTACATAGTGCTTACTTGATTATGTAGTATTAGCAGGCTTGGGGGGTAATGGATTTCATGTACCTGAGTTACGTAATCAGGATACAAAAAAAAAGGTAACTGTAATCCATTATATTTCCGGACATTGTTTTATCAGATTACAGTTGCATTTAGTAAAATTGGGGATCATTTTACAAAATTACAAATTTAAATACAGCTGGTTTCCCTAAAAAACAGACTGAGCACAGAACACATTTTTGATGCTAAAATCCTGTATCATGTTCTTTTATTTCACATTGTCACATTGTTCTGGTATCTTATACACACTTAAATCAATACTTTTAAATGCCATTTCCTTTCTCTTGTCTTTATTTTCACATTTGGTGTTAAAGTAATCCAAAAGTTACCATCTAAGAGTTACTTTTATAATGTGATACTATGATTAGGTTGCGGACTACACTTTTAACAATTAGTAACTGTTTCGGATCACTACTATTTTTAAAGTAAGCCTCCCAACCAAGTGTTGGTATGTAGTGTGGAATTAGGACACAGCTAATGAGTGCAGTACACCTGCAGTAGAACAGACCTTAAAGACAAATGCATGATGGTTGGTTTAGATATATCACAGGAAACTGATTGAACTACTCTGCTCCTATGTTTACAGTTTAACGAAGAAGAAATGTCTTAAGCATATTCAATAATACCTCAGCTTTGAACAAATCAATCACTCTGTCTCTCTGTCTCTCTCTAATGTTATAAGGAGTTCGGTCTAGACCTGCTCTATTTTAAAACGTGTCCTGAGATAACCTCTGTTATGATTTGGCGCTATACAAATAAAATTGAGTTGAATTGAACACTGACACGTCATCCAATTGGCAGAAATGATTTACTCTCGCTCAGTTTCCTTTGAGTAGTAACACAGTGCATTGTGGGCCTGCTGTCTCTGATGGAGGCAGGCGCACAATAATACCACTGGAAGTAAGTAACAGGAAGCAGCCTCACCTGTAGAGGAAGTGGCTTCTTCTGGCAAAGACGCTGTGCTGGGAGACCCAGAAGCTCAGTGCAGGCCCGAACATCAGCACTGCTGACAGCAACAGGTGGAAGTGCTGTCGGAACACAGTGCTACCCAGGAACCGGGCCGCCAGGTCCGTCAGGACCACCAGCACCGTGTTGAGGAACATCTGGACCCAAAATGGAACCTCTGACCGGATGTCAACTTAACCCAGTATTTCTGTATGAAAATGGACTGCTGCTGACTCCGAATGCAGCAGTGTGTTTGTGTAGATTATCCACCTCAGACTAAGTAGTATGCACAGTTTCATGTGATAAAGAGTTAATCCCGTCTAGAATGCACACAACACGCTAGTTGATGTTGTGGATTACCTCGGTTGCATATGGTAACAGTTCAGTCAATCAGTGCAGACTGAACTATATTTTAAGTTTTAGATTGGGTCCATTGGCACATTGATGGAAGATGAATCCAATTCCAGGGATCTAAAGACGCTTGCTGTATAGTTCAAAATAGCTTAAGTCCACTGGTGTTATGGAAGATGAATCCAGATCCTAAGACCTAAAGACGCTGGCTATGTAGTGGAAAATAACTGCTGTCCACTGGTGTTAGCTGCTAGTGTTCATCCACGCGTAGAGTGTACTCCATTACATGAATGAAGTGACAGCTGGGCCCTAGCATTCCTCAGATGGCTGCAAATATGTGCACACTGTGAAATCCATCCAGTGGGCAGTCCTGACTCAGTGGAGTATATTGTATCTGCTAGTAGCTTCAGTGCACAGTAGTTTAACTGCAGCTCTCAGTTTTCCAGTTTTCACACTTAGGACTGAAGACTTGAACAATGCAACCAAACAGCATCACTGTTACCTGGCAGGTTTTTCCTTGTATAGCAGGTTTCCCATGCGTGTTCTTCCTGTTTTCCTCTTGTTGTGCAGTGATTGTCAACTGGCTGCCAGCGTACTCCACTCAGCGATGGCTGTGTCACCCTGAGAGACGTCCAAGAGTTGTAGCTTCAGAATACCTCCCCTGTTCAAACTATCTCCGCGGTAACTGTAGCGTCTTCGCTCTTCTCTGTCACTGACACCCACTCTCCAACACACACATAAAAATACAGAGTGTGTTCTCGCCCTGTCATAGACCGCCCGGGCCTTGAAGGTATCACATTGCTCCTACTGAGATGACTGTAGGGTACAGAAAGGTTGAAGCAATGACATTGAGTCCTCTGTGTTAACATGTGTATCACAGGGTTTCTAACTAATTAAATTTGAATTGCCAGCAGAGTTAGAGGCTGGGAGTAAGCTAAGCAGTGCCAACAGAAGCAGTGCTACAGAAAAGTCAGGAATTGTCAGCAATGATGTGAAATTAGATGTAATATGTTGCATTATGTGTGTTTGCGTATTAATAGCAGTAACCTTTGTACTGTATCTGTGCTGGGACTCAGCTGTTGCAGCTGTCTGTCTCTGTCAATCAGTGAATGCTAACACACACACACACACACACACACACACAACCCACACACACACACAACCCACATCTACTGTCCTTTCTCTCTCACTCTCTCTCTCCCCCTCTCTCTCTCCCTCAGATATCACCCAGTTTCATTTAGTAACATGAACCGACCCTGACCAAAGCACTTCCATCAATTTACCACATAGTCCCCTTAAATCCACAAAGCTTCTAGCATTGGCATTTGTTTCCGTGCTGTTTTTGCTCTCTGTTTTCCTCATCAGTGGCTGATTTTCTGATGATGAATGAGTTATTGCTGTTATAGCAAAGATCATTTTGCGGATTTTCTTGCCTTCCTACAGTGTCTGGAGAGATGTATCAGGCTCTGATGCCTATCTTGGTGCGTATGTCTTGTATAAGCTACTTATACTGTCAATTGTTCAGTTAATACTTAATTGTTAATACTGTTTTTATAATATGTTGAAATCAGTCAGTTTGTATGCAATTTTCAAGTCCGTATTGAAAATAAATTTAAATAATAGATAAATTAGTAAAAAAGTTACATGTATGTATTTTTAATCTCGTGTCAATACAGATTGAAATATGTGTAATTCAAAATTAGACAGATTCTTCTCATTTGGTGCACTATTCTTTAATTTCCTGTTCACATTACTAGAACCTTCTTCTGTCCTTTGAATTTCTGAAACATGTGAGCTGAACTCTGCTGTTTGCCTGTCCAGAAATAAAGGTTGACCTTGTTTCGAGGTGTTAAATGTCTCCCTTCTCTCTTTTCTGACTGCGTGCAGGAAGGCTCAACAGCCTAGTTAAGTTCCAGACAGCATTCGATCCACTAACCACTACATTTGTTCACATCACCCCTGACTAATAGAAATGCCAGAAGACATTACGGCAATGTTTCTACATGTTTAAAGACATATTGGAGTTTGGGGAGTTTTTTTGGCCAAAAAAAATAACCAATAACAATCCATTAGTGCAACACGATGAGTTGCTTCCATATCAATGACCATATTTTTTAGGATATTCCAATGGTGATCAGATTACAGGAAACTGCAAGCCAACAGAGAAGTCTAAACACTCAGGGACAGATCTAAAGGGGTGGTTCCCAACTTTATTCCTTAAGCGACCCCTTTTCTATCATTGAGTAAACTGACTAAGTGATATATTTTATAGATATTTCATATTATATTCTATATATGTTTAAAAGTAGGCTAAATAAAAATTTGCCTTGTGCTTCACTATGGAAGCCCATTTCCACCAATATGACAAAAAAAAAATTCTGTAAGTCATTATAATGAGAAACATTCTCAAAATATTGACTTAGCATCTCAAAATAATGACTTTTTGATACTAAGTCAAAACACTGAGAAAGTTTGTCATTATAATGACTTACAGAATCCTTTTTTTCCCCATCACATTGGCTAAATGGACTTCCCTGAAAAGAGACTTCCCTGCTCATTACATTGTCCAACACACACACACACACACACACACACACACACACACATTCTCCAGATGACTGCGATGTTGCAACAAAGCACAGTTTTAGCAGTCTGAAATATGCTGGCCGAGAGCTGCTGAAGGGAAGAATGCATTCCCGCCTGTTACAGCTTCCATTAATATCCACAATATTTGGAACTTACTTGCTGGTAGGTGGACTGAAGGTCCGGGTCCTGTTGCAGCAGGGTGAACGTGAATGAATGAGAGATGTCCATGTCCGTTAAGCTTATAACAAAAATAAAGACATGCTTCAAAACCGCTGTATGTGCATCCAACAGAACCAAAATAAGTTAAACTAAACTCTTCTGTGTGTACTCATGTCAGTGTCACACACCTGAGTCTGTTTCTATCTGATTCTGGACATGCAGTGACTGTAGTTCAAACATATGCACTGGTCGCTATGAGAGTTATTATTTCACACACTGCTGGCTGCGGGTGCACAGTAACACTGTGGGTCCCAACCTGTTACCTCAAAGGACCCCTATTCTATTAATCAGTATGAACTGAAACAAACTCCTGACTCAGTGACATATTTTATTGATATTTCATATTATATT